CAAGCTGTTCGATTATTATGTCATACGTTCGCTAACGATGTTTGACATAATAATCGAACAGCTTGTCCAAATTATAAATATTTATTAGCCGCAATTCTTGAATGAATAGTTTCCTTTTTTTATATACCTAGTTAATTAACCTTGTCTTTTTAATGATCTTTGATGTTGGCTCCGTTGATAGCGGAATTAACAAATACAAAATTGATTTCGGGGCGTTCCTTCAAAATCAATTTGACTCCACAATTTCATTTCAACGACTTGACAGAACATTGATGTTTTTTACAACAACGATTGCATAAATTGAGCTAAATTACTATAGTCGCAAATGTCACATTAGAAAGTGAAAATGAATTAAATTCTTTTGCAGTTCATTTCAAATGTTCTAGTTATACGAACGGTAACGCTAAGCAGAAATGAGTTTTAAATACTGTCATAAAATTTACGACCACATAAAAACCGTATTTGTCTAATCAAGTTGACAATTATTAAAAGTTTGTTATATGCGATGACGAAATGATGATGAATTTATCGAGATGCTTAAAAGCCCGCTCTATTTAGTGTGGGTCGTACTATAATTAGAAAAAGAAAATTTTGAGAAATTGGATCCAATAATTACATGAACAGTGCCAACTGCTTGTGAAATTTCGCAAAGTAAACATGCACTTACCGCCTATAAACTTATTTCGACAAACAATAAAACTGAATATAATGAATGGGTTTACAAAAAGAAAAAAGCAACAATCAAAGCGTGGCCTGCCGTATCTGCTCTAGATACGTCAATATACTGTTGACGTTATAATGATAGTTTGACATGTCCTGCAAATTTAGCAATAATGACCCACGTAAAAGTAGGCTGTGAAAAGAATATAATATTATAGACGGTGTTCCGAACGATGTTGACAGATAAAACACAGTTCACATATATGTCTGTGTAGTAGCAATACTTATTACAAAATGCTGTAGAAAAGCTACTGCCACGATAATAACCTAAGGAATTTATATAGGCGGAAATTAATTAGATAGTCAATCAGATAAAGGTTTGTAGACTGCTATAAAAATTTGTGCTTTTTTTCGTAAAACAGCATAATATTGAACAAACCAAAAAGAAATAATGTAGCAGTTGGCGCCATCTGATTTGGGAAAGCCGAATGTCAGCGGACTGAAAAGGATATTCTTTTTCGCTCGGGGGTAAATATAAGGTTACACCTCGAAAAAAACAAGGTAATTGTAGAAATTGCTCTTGAATTTCTAATTAGTCAACGTTAGGGTTCCATTACAATATTTACAAGATTGAATTTGATGCAAGAAAAGGCAAAATTTTTGATAAACCTTCAATTACAATCACGTATGGCTTCACGC